GAGATGTCATGTTGAGATGGATCATTGACTTGGACCAAGTTTTGGTGGGTGTGTTATTTAGATGTGTTCTTTAATTAACTTAGGTTAAGTTCTTCCAAGTTCACTCAGTGTTTCTGCAGTGATGCAATATACGCCATTGAAATTAGTAGGTATATATATATATATATATATATATACTATAAAAGGCTCTTTCCCGCCAAAGTTGGTAAAATTTTCACTAAAGTAATTATGTTTATATTAAATATTTACCTTATATAATAATGTTAGTAGTATTTAATATTTATAGTCATATGAGATGTGATATTGAATTTTTTGATAGGACCCAAAATCTCTCGGAGACAGTAATAGTTTGTCTTGGTTCAAGAATACAATATCTTTGCCCAAAACTCTATTCACGATGTGTATGTCTTAAACATTTACTTGTTGACTTCAATCAACACTTGAAATTTTGGGGCAAGATATATAACATGTTATTTAAAATAAAAAGTATTTTTTAAGTGAAAAAACTGATGTTAAAGGTGTTTTTAAGTTTATATTTATAAATGCTTTAAATATAAACATGCACTCCCACACTAAATATAAAAATTGCAACACCTATGGTTTTTCAAATGGTGCATTGTAAAATTGTAGTTATATATGAGTGTAAGTAGTAAATTATGGAGATGAGAGAGGGTTAACCATTACCCTGGAAATGGACCCAATTATAGTGCAGACTGGTTTGGCATTTGGCAAAACACAAACCAATGATGTCGTGACCAAGTCATGGTCATCGTGGTGTTAATTCATGTCGTTGTGGTGGATAACATTAATGTTTTTATGCCATGCCAAAGTTGTCAAATTGATATTAAAAAAGTTTAAAATAAAAAATTGTAGTGAATGAACTATACTATTGTATATTGATATAGATAAGTAATGTGGCACCAATGTAATAAGGAAATGTAAATTTTAAAAAATAGTAAAAGTAGTTGTAAGATGATTATAACTCATAATCTTTACCATCAAAATTACTATTTAAACCTTTAAACCCTTTATCTTATTTGAATTATATTATAAACACTATATATCGTATAAAATATCACTTTATAAGTTAAATACATTTTAGAAATATTTATTTGATATCAAATCTAATTTAAAATTAATAAATAATAATTTTATATAATAAAAACAATATTGTAATGAATAAATTATATAATTTATCATTTAATATATTTTTATATATACAATAAATATAAATATACAATCACTTTTCTCTTTCATTTTATTTTTAATTTCCTATCCTTCTAATGTATGCATTTACTGGTTATTGTAGTCTACACTTGAAAATTGAATGACATTGAAGTAGTTCATGGAAGCCCAAAGTAGACGAGGTTACCTCTCTCATCTCTGGGCCTATATAATATAGGAAAGGCAGATGATAAACACACCTCCACTCTCATATAAATACACCTCCTTTTTTAAAAAAAATATATAAAATGTCTAAATTACCCTTAAAAATATGAAATTCTTAAATTTACACCCCCTTCCCCGCACCCCACACCCTCCTTCTTCCTAAAATGACAAACATTGTAGTCCGTAATTGCACCCCCAGTTACTCTACAGTGGCGCCGGACAAGGAATTATTAGCCATCTTCAGCTCCTCCAACTTAACGAGGTTTCCTATTTGAGCCGGAACCTCGCCGGAAAGTGTATTGCTCGAAACATCAAGCACGGTCAACGTGGTCACGTTGGTCAACCACAACGGAAACGTGCCTCGCATGCGATTGTGCTGAATATCCAAAACCTGAAGAACGCTAAAACACGTGCTCGTCTCAGGCCCCACGAAATCCGTGAAACCGTTCAATCCGAGATGGACAATCCGCAGCGACGGTGCGTGGACCGAACAGTTGCAGAAAACCGAAGTCGAAACGGAGCCAGTGAGGTTGTTCTCAGAGAGCGACATTACCTGAAGCCTCGGAAGCGCCGAAATCGCCGTCGGAATCATGCCGCTGAGCGCGTTTCCTTCCATGCTCACATTTTTCAGTGCAATGCGTGTGCCAGCAACCACGCACGCTGCAACTGGGGCGGCCCTCGTGCTTTTGGGTAATAATAGAGACCTGGTAACTGTAGAGAAACTGGGGGTATAATTGCGAACTACAATGTTTGTCACTTTAGGAAGAAGGGAGTTGTGAGGTGCGGGGTGCGGAGAAGGAGGGTGTGGGGTGCGAAATTTCATTTTTTTAAGGGTAATTTAGACATTTTATATATTTTTTTTTAAAAAGGAGGTGTACTTATAGGAAGGTGAAGGTGTGTTTATCATCTGCCTATAGGAAATGGGTTGATCTAATTCTAAGCCCATATTTCATTCCAACATTGATTGGCCCATCTTCAGTGCTGATTTTTCATACAGCAATGAAGTTGACACAACTCTCTATGCTTGCTTGCTAGTATTCAACTTTACATCATCAATTAATGCACAATTTCTGTTCTCTCTATCTATTCTCTTTATTCTTTGCATGTGATCATAAGTCTCCAAGATGTTAACAAAATTGAGCTTTAATTGTATTTTTATTTCTTAAATTTAGTGTAACTTTCTTTTTTGTCTCCAAAATTTTAAAAAGGATGTTTTTCAGTTCTTGTATTTTAAAAATAATTTGTTTTACTATTTCTGTCAAAATAGCAGTGATGAATCTGTTAAACAAAAATTTACTTATCAATATTTTTATTAATAAAATATTATATTAGACTCAATTATTATTGTAGAATTAACTTGATAGGTGGTGATTTAAAGGACTATATTTTTTTTGTCCATTCCTGGAATATCTACCGTCGATAGCAGTGATTAATCTCCTCGCTACGTTGGAGGAACCTCAAAGGGTGAAATAGCTGGTCTCAAGATTTAACACGGCTGCATACACTAGGTAGGATTATGTTTTAAATTTACATGAACTATAAATATTTTGTTTTTAAAGAAAGTTAAGAAGCCATTACTTAATTTAATTACATTCAACAATTTAAATTTAACTTGTTCAAAATTAATTTTTATTAAATTTACAATCTAATAAGAAATATTTTTATTTATCGTCAATTTGCGTAAATGATTCAACTGTCGTCGTCAACAAGTTGGGGACCCATGCTCGCTGGTAAAGTCAATTTGTGTGTCATATCGATTGACTTTGCTACCATTAACGATTGGATTAAAACACTTTGAAGAATGCACTGGGTAAATTATTCTTTAAAAATAATTTACAAAAACAATTTAAATATTAATTTTTAAAATATGTTTTTCATTAAAATATGATATAAATAAAACATGTATTAATACATAATATATTATTATGAACTTCTTACAACAATTTTTATCTAATAAATTAACTAAAATTGCGTACCGAACCACGAAGACATTATTAAAACAGTATAGTAAGAATATAAAAGTTTCCTTCCTAAAAAAAATTAGGGTTGTAAAAATGATTATAATTAATCATGAATCCAATTATCACAACGTTATCAAAACTTAATTTAAATTTTTTTATTTTCATTTTCATGTTTTCAAATTTTTAACGCGTATATATAAAAATAACCTCCAAAGTAATCAAAGTCACCAACTATTGAATTTGTAAAAAAACTATTGTGCAAGAACATTTTCCTTGCTTTTAAAAATAAAATATTTTGATTTGAAAAAAAAATGATTAATTAACGCACCAATATCTGTGATATGTACACATGAGAGCATGAGCATAATACATCATGTTGTTACTGAATTATTTAGTACATCATCATCTTCATTATGATATTGACTCATACATTATTTAACAATTCTATCATAGTCATCTATATTTAATACATAATACATTTCAATTTTATTAAGAGAGAGCATTTTAAATTCAATCAATAAAAATAAATATATTTATGAATTTTAAATTTGAATATTTTTGTTATATAAAAATATCACATTAAATTGTAAATTAAAAAAAAATATTTTTCCTATAAGGACTTACTATAGTTCATTATTAAGAAAAACTCAAGTCTCACATCGACTAAAAATAAGACAATTAAAGAATATATAATGAAAAACAACTCTTAGCTAATTAGAATAGTAGATTTAACCTAATTAGAATAGTGGAAGTCTAACTCAACCCTACAAAACTAGCTTGTAAGGTGAAAATTATTTTCCACTGAACTTGGTACATGGATAAATAGTGGGTGACTCTTTTGAATGATCCAGGATAAGAAGCCCATTTTTAAAGATAATGTGCCGATTATTTTTCACTTATATATTCTTTAATTGTCTTATCTCTGGTCGATGTGAGACTTTGTTTTGTTTTTTTTCCAATATTCATGCAGATATTTACTAAGGTTCATACTACGCACTTACTAAATTATTTACTTCCTATAACGACGTACTATGGTCTATGCAGATATTTATTTATTTATTTTGTTATTTATGTTTTATTTTTCCAGCTGTTTTATCTTTATCTTTTTCTTTCTTTTTAAAATTATTTACAAAAATATTTTAAAAACAAACCAATACGTCTTGATCATCGTCATTTCTGATGCACACCGTTTCTCATTTTTCCCACTTCTCAGTAGCCACCACCACCAAATTATGCAGCAGCCTCTTTTAATTAAAAAAGAAGGCACACTTGCTCTGAATGGAAATTAAGAAGTCAATAATGTACGAACTTTCAAATATTTATATATCTTTCTTTATAGATGTTTATAGAAAGACACAATGATGAAGGAATCTAATTTAATTAATTAAACGATGTGTATAAGTTGTCCTATTTTTTTTTTTTTTTTTTTTACACAGCTTTGAATCTTGTGAATAAAAAAAGTTTACAAGTTAAAATTTACATATAAATTAAAATAATTTTTTTTATTTAAATTAATTTTAATTTATAAGAAAAATATATTACTTTTTCATTTTATATATTTTATTTTGTATAATTTTTATAAATAAAAAAAACTTGGAATATATTGGCTATAAATGCAGTGCAATGCAATTTACTGATAGCACAAAAAAAACAAATAGTAGAAGCAGACATAGAGAACCAAGAAAGTTATGGGCAGTGTTGTTGAGTACTCTCCATTGTTTGAGACAAGAAGGGGCAGAGGAAGTCTCATCTACAGGCCCTTTGCAATCTCATTATTTGTGGCCATATGCTTCATATGGTTTTATAGAATTAGCCACAGCACAAAGGGTGAAGATGGAAAATGGGCATGGCTTGGTATGTTTGCTGCAGAGCTTTGGTTTGGCTTTTACTGGCTCCTCACTCAGGCCTTCAGGTGGAACCTTGTGTTCAGGCACCCCTTCAAAGATAGACTCTCTCAAAGGTCCTATATACATACATATCTACTCATTTTTATTTTTAATAAATGTGCTTGCTTCAGATTAATTCTATGTTGTTCACACTAAATAATCCTATTATCAACATGAGATTTAATTTATCTAGTGTATATGATGATGAGAAGAAGTTATGAAGTATGAACAAATTAACTAAGCTTGGTCAGTTAGTAGATAGTTGAATCCTTTAGGAATAATGTTATAAGCTTTATATTATAATTTATATCCTATGTTACTCTTATTTCCTTTTTTGGCTTTCATGGCTTGTAACATCTATCTGGGTATCGCAAAGTTTTATGCATTGAGATGAAAAGACAAAAAAAAAAAAAAAAAGTGTGTTTGGTTTGGAACAGATATGAGAAAAAGTTGCCAGGATTGGACATCTTTGTGTGCACAGCAGATCCAGATATTGAGCCACCAGTGATGGTGATTAACACAGTGCTATCTGTGATGGCTTATGAGTATCCAACTGAAAAGATGAGTGTGTATCTCTCAGACGATGCAGGGTCAGAAATCACGTTCTATGCACTGCTAGAGGCATCAAACTTTGCAAAATATTGGGTTCCATTCACCAAGAGGTTCAGGGTGGAGCCCAGGTCACCTGCTGCATATTTTAAGAGCATAGTCTCATCAGCCTACCCTTCTCACTCTAGTCAAACCCAAGAGTTGGTAGCCATTAAGGTAAGTAATATTGAACTACTCAATTGTTTCACTTAAATTCATGTGGTCACTCTTGAAATTAAAGTCTACTCACCTTAAAAATGGATCTAATCAAAGTTGAAAAAATGAAAAAAAATATATGATGGATAAAAAAATGTGATTCGGTTCACTTTTGATACGACCTACTCCGGTTCAACTCGTGATAGGTCGGACTGTTCATCTAACTCACTTATTATCCTATCAACCCAATCCACGGAACTATTTATTATTATATGTGTATTATTTTAATAAGATATTATTTTCTTTTATAGATAAAGATAAAATCAACATTAAACAACATGAAATTGCTATAAATTTATCTATTCAAGCTTTCAATAAAATTTAATATTGATGAATAATCATTTTCATGAAAAGGATTTTTATTTTTTTGTTTTAATTTTTTAAAGTTGTACACTTTTTAATTTAAGTTTAATGTTGTATGCATAATACTTAGTTTGATAATTTTTTACTCTAAATTAGAGATTATTCTATATTAGAATTTATTTTAATTATTATTTTTTAAAAATTAGATAGGTTGGTGGACCAGCCTGTTTAGTCTACCAACCCGTAATAGACTAGACCAGGCTAAAAAATTTTGGATAATAAATGTGGTGGGCCAAATCGATTAACCCGACTACTTAAAAAGTGGGTTGAGGTAGGTTAGGTCGGACTAATCCATTTTAACAGCTCTAGTTAAAATCAATGAATATGCCTTTATGGAGTTGGTGATGGCCACTAATCATTAAATAATAATTATATATAATTTTAAAGGATTTAAGATAAAGAAAAAATTTAACTACAATATTAGAATTAGAATTTTATTTTTATAATTTACATTTATAATTATTATGTAAGCTTTTGTAATATATATATATATATATATATATATTTATATTTATATCTTAAAAATAAAATTATAATTTTAATTAAAAAAAAGTACCAATCATATTTAAAGAAGTGAGTTTTGTTCGTAATAAGTTAAAACATGATTCTAGTTAAGTATAATTTCAAAATCATTCTACGAATTAGAACTTTCTTATTAAACCTTCTGCATACTAGATAAAGAAAATATTGAATATGTTTAAAATTTCAAGATATATTTGTTTTCTATTTGATATTTTCTTTCTAAGATATTAAAAGTTGTAGGAAAATTTATAGAAAGATAACATTATTCTTTATTTAATGATTTGAATTACGAGAATAAGGGTTTTCAAAGATTAAATAGGAAGCTTTTAATCATTAAATAAAATAATAAGCTTTTAATCTCTGTACAGTACACATGCACACATTAAATGTATATTGGTAGGAAAGAAAGAAATAAGGGAGATATAAAATAGAGAGAAATGGAAAAGAAAATAATGAGTAAAAATAATAGAGTTTGGTTCAAGAAAAATAAGAAATAAAAAACATATGTATACAAATTAAAATATAATAATTTAAAATTAATTTCTAAATTAAAGAATCGATTAAAATTAACTTATACAAAATGTAAATTTTAGAACATTAATTAAAGAATTAATATGTAATTTTTTTATATGAAAAACTAAAATGAAGAGAAAAAATGTGTAAATACACATTTGAATGAAAAAATTTAATTTTTAATTTCTTAATGGGTACTTTTAAGACACTTCTTTAGCATTTTAAAAAAAAATATTATTTCTTAATTGTTTAGGAAAACACAATGAGCAAAGCTGTGGAGGCTGAGATCATTGGCGGTGCACCCATTTCTCTATGCAGTATAGGCATTAGGCGGTACGGCTTTTGCAAGCTGTATGGGCGGTGGCTGATTTTTAAATACTATTATAGTAAAAAAAATGTTTGATTCAATATTTTACTCACATTGCTGTAAGAAAAAAATATTTTACTGACATATATTCCTGAGGTCAAATTCATTTCAGCTCCCTACCAATCTAATAATAGCATTGCAGTAAAATATACGCTAAAAAATTATTTTAATCCTTTATAATAATTATTTATTTTAATTTAGTTTGACTTTTATTTTTATCTTAACTTGGTCCTTAATAAATTAATTGGTTTCAATGTCGGGCTTCCGTTCAAATTATTTAAATGGAGTTAATTGTTGGCCATGTAGATGCCACGTAGATGCATAGATAGATGCCACGTGGACACCAAATGTCTTGAAAACACTTGGAACCAAAATGAACCGTTCTGAAACCAGAACGGACCGTTCTGGGTGCATTCTTAGTGTGTTAAGTTTGCACCTGGAACGGGCCGTTACGGATGCAAAATTAACACACCAAGGTGCACCCAAAACGACCCGTTCTAGTTTTAGAACGGGCCGTTCTGGTTCCGGGTGTTTTCAAAAAATTTGGCATCCACGTGACATCCACCTATGCATCTACGTGATATCCACGTGGCCAACAGTTAACTCCGTTTAAATAATTTAGACAGAAGTCCGACATTGCAACCAATTAATTTATTAGAGACCAAATTAAGACTAAAAATAAAAATGAGACTAAATTTAAACAAACAATTATTATAAGGAACTAAAAAACTATTTTAACCTAAAATATATTGTGATGGTAATTTTGATGAATTAAAAATATTATTATTATTATTATTATTATTATTATTATTATTATTATTATTATTGACGACTTATGTTACTCTTCATTTAATGTTGTAGAAATTGTACGAGGAAATGGTAAAACGCATTGATGATGCAACCAAGCTGGGTGAAGTACCCAAAGAAGCACGTTTAAAGCATAAGGGATTTTCTCATTGGAGTTCATATTCTTCTCGACGTGACCATGACACAATTCTTCAAGTAACTTCCTTTCTTAGCATAATCAATTCAATTAAAAGTATGTTTAGATAATATTTTTAAAAAAAATACTTATAACAAAAAATAAGATAAAAATTTTAGAAAAATTAATAAGAGAAAATTTTTATAAATTAATTTTTTAAAACTAAATTTAACTCATAAAAACTTTATTTCATATTTTTTTCTTTTAAAGAAATTTATCCAAACTTACACTACACAACTGATGCTTGTTTACACTTACATGTCTTGATTTTCTCACTAGATACTGCTTCATAAAAAGAACCCAAATAATTCGAAAGATGTAGATGGGTGTGATTTGCCAACTCTGGCGTATTTGGCTCGCGAGAAGAGGCCTCAATATTTCCACAACTTCAAAGCTGGAGCTATGAATTCATTGGTATCTACATATTTTATATAAATTTCTTTCATATTCTTAATTTATATATTTTCATAGACAAAATTTAGGTAGGTGTGCCTTTAGTACACTACTAATTCTTCAGTCAATATGCAAATTGCAATAATTACTCACGTTCTATTCTTTGGTCTGAATGCATGCATGCAGTTAAGGGTGTCTTCGAATATCAGCAACGGGAAAATCATTCTAAATGTAGACTGTGACATGTACTCAAACAATTCACAATCTGTGAGAGATGCTCTCTGCTTTTTCATGGATGAAGAGCAAGGCCACCAAATTGCTTATGTGCAGTTTCCTCAGAGTTTTGAGAATGCCACCAAGAATGATTTATATGGCTCTTCTCTAATATCAATTGCAGAGGTGAGTAATTTCTATATCCCCTTCCTCCATATGAGAGTAACAGCCCAATATGTTGATTCAATCATAGCATCATATCTTTGACAACTTACAATATGTATAAGAAATTTCATTGTAATTTCTTATCATAATGTCATAATGCTATTATTATTGATAGTCATACTTATAAATGTTTCTATGTAAAATTGTAAATAAAGGTGGATTTCCGTGGTTTGGATGGTTGTGGTGGCCCTTTGTATATAGGAAGTGGCTGCTTTCACAAGAGAGAGTCTCTTTGTGGGATGAAGTTCACTGATCAATACAGGAATGATTGGAATAGTAAAGAAGATGATCAGTTTAAAGAAGCAAGCCTAGAGGAACTAGAACAACAATCAAAAGCTCTTGCAAGCTGCTCCTACGAGGAAAACACACTTTGGGGAAAAGAGGTAAATAATCTCACTCATTTGAGAAACTATTACATGATCTAAGATTATTTCATCCTAACTAATCTCCTCTTGACATGTATTCATATTTTTTAGTTTATAAAAATGAGTTAATAATATGTCACATTAAATTTGATCAAGACCACATGGTCATAGACCGTTTAATAATTTCTCTCCTCACACACACTTCTTATAATATATAATATCATACTAACTTGCAAACATGCGTATAAAATCTGGGTGTTACAACAGTTGTGTAAAGCAAATATGTTATAAGATGAAGTTTAATAATTAGCTACATATAACGTTGTTATAAATTGCAGATGGGTTTAAAATATGGGTGTCCAGTGGAGGATGTGATAACAGGATTATCTATACAGTGCCAAGGATGGAAATCAGTGTACTACATCCCACCAAGGAAGGCTTTCTTAGGTTTAGCTCCAACCACTTTGCCTCAAACACTTGTTCAACACAAGAGATGGTCTGAAGGAGACTTGCAGATTTTGCTTTCTAAATACAGCCCTGCATGGTATGGTTTTGGAAGGATCAGTTCGGGGCTCCAAATGGGATACTGTGCTTATTGCTTATGGGCACCTAATTGTTTAGCAACACTGTATTATTCCATCATCCCTTCAGTATACCTCCTTAAAGGCATTCCCTTGTTTCCAAAGGTAACAAAACAATCCCTTTTGATAAGTGCTGAATTTTAATTAAAGCTAGGGGTTCACAAAAAATCTGATTCAATCAGAACCAACATAAAACCGATCTTGATCTAATCCAAATTATAAAATGGATATGTTTTGTGACAAACAAATTGATCCACCTTGCAAAAACAATTCAGTTAATAGTCTGTTTTTATCAAGTGAGTTGGTTTAATTCATTTTTATTTAAAAGATTGAACTATTATATAAGTATAACGTGAGTGATCAATCGATTTTAAAAAAAAAATCCTACCCATTTTTTAAAAAATCAATCCAAACCACTTTATAAAAAATGGTTAATTGTAGAAAGTAACACATATTATACTAAACTGATTTTATAAAATGAATTGATTCAATTTAATTTGAAAATTTCAAAATTCAATCTATGAACAGTCATAATAAAGAGATCTTTTCCTCCTCATTGTCTGAATAAGCTTTGCCAATGGATTGTGATGAGATGTTCACTTTTGTCTTTTGGGAATAGAAAACAAAACCAAAGTGGAAAAGCATGTTAAGACTCTGCTATAGTATGTGCATGCATTGTGTGACTACATAAATGTGATTAAGCATGCAATTTTCTAAGCAAATACTTGGTTATTATTGAGAATACATGTGTTTAATTGGTTATTTGTGGATTTACCAGGTGTCAAGTCCATGGTTCATACCTTTTGCATATGTCATTGTTGGGGAAACAACTTATAGTTTGTTGGAGTTTTTCTTCTGTGGGGGCACATTTCAAGGTTGGTGGAATGACCTAAGGATATGGTTATACAAAAGAACAAGCTCTTACCTATTTGCATGCATTGACACCATCTTGAAGCTTTTTGGGTTCTCAAATTCAACTTTTATAATCACGGCTAAGGTTACAGAAGAAGATGCTTTAAAACGCTATGAGAAGGAAATGATGGAGTTTGGAGCCTCCTCTCCAATGCTCACTATATTAGCCACTCTTGCTGTGCTAAATTTATTTTGTTTTCTTAGTGTGTTGAAGGATGCATTAATCCTAAGAGAAGGTGACCATGGAGTTTATGAAACAATGGTGTTGCAAGTTTTATTGTGTGGCTTTTTGGTTCTCATCAATTTGCCTATATACCAAGGACTTTTCTTAAGGAAGGACAGTGGAAGATTGCCTAGCTCTGTTGCAATCAAATCAATAATATTGGCTGTTGGTGTATTCATCTCCTACAGCTTGTCATGACCAAACTCAAGAAAGATTACAACAAAAATTGAAGATTGAGCTTAAGTTTTTATACATTTACTTAATCTTTAATTATTAAGCTGACATTAGTGGTTCAAATATAAATTCATATTAAATATAAAGGAAATTTTAACTCTCTTTTTTATATTAATAATGTGGTATATAATTAGTTGTGTATGACATTATATATATAATTTATGTTATTAATTGCTAGCATTTATCAATTTTATTCAAAAAATTTGTAATATTTTGTTGATTTTAACGTATTAATAATGTATAAATTAAGAAGTATAACTCAATTGGTGAAATAAAATGGGTGAGTATGATAAATTTCTTTAGTGTCGAATTTAATTGTAATGAATAAAAAAAGAACATGTGAATAATATAATTATTGATCTCATCCTTAATGTTGATTCACAAAGGAGTGAGTATTACTCATTGCTTTAAATAATTTTCATCTCAAAGTTGAAACTTTTGATGTGATATAAATAATTTGTTTAAATAAATCACCTTGAAAACTTGCAACCCAATTACATCATTGACATGTGTTCCCAAAACCACAATACAACTGTAAAATCGTAAATGATGCATGGGATATCCTTTGTGTATTTTAAAATAAGTTTTTTTTATATGAGTTTCAATTATTTGTGTGGCAAATTTTGATATGAAAAGGTAAAACATTAATTAATTATTTGTATTTATAGAATTTTTTTGGGAAAGCTTTAAAATTGCATCAAGTGCACGTGCATCTTTTATCTTTTAGGAAAAACTTGTTAATACCTTTGTTGTAATTGAAAGGAAAAATAAATAATGGGTGCAAAAATATTGTATGTTTTAAGATAGTCGAATACTATTTATCTGAAAATCCCTTTCATTTAATAAAACTCTTTAATTGTTTTTCCAAGGTATATATATTTATTTATTTTACAAAACACATTAATTAAAATATTTTTTATTTTGTATTTTTAGAAAACATACATGAAGACCCCTTTCTAAACTATTTCTCTCTCTCTCTCTCTATTATTGCTTTTTCTGTTTTTGTAGGGACTAAGGGACAGAAATTGTGGTCTCAGGAAAAAGGGTTGTCGCTATCGCTGCTACTGATGTCTGATGCTGCCATCGTCACTCCTCAGCTGCAACACTGTGTTGCATGTACAGTACGTGTCTCTGTTGCAACACTGTGTTGCATACCCATTCTACACTTTCTTTTATTTTTATTTATATTTATATTTATATAGCTTTTCTATTTTTATGTTTTGTCTTATTTTATTTTATTTTATTACAAATTTTTATATTTTCTTTATATTTTTGCTTTTTTTTTGTCTTTAGAATATTTACTACCGATAATAATGACTAATTTCCTCGCTACATTGGAGACACCTCAAAGGGTGGGATAGCTGGTCCCAAAATTTAACGCGACTGAATATACAAGACAGGATTCGAACTCCTGACCTTACTTAAACGTGGATCAACTCCTGAATCACACGCTTGGAGTTTTACATTTTTGCTTTTATTTAATTGTATTTTGATTTTTTCAATTTTAACTTTTTTTAAGATGTTATTGGGTTATTACACTCATAAATGGTTTGACATGACTTTTCATGAGCCACACGTCAACACTTAACAAAAACTAGCTAGTAAAAAGACCAAAACAGAAAACAATATTTTTTAAAAATAATTTAAATAAAATAATATGGAAGCTAAAAACAAATAAAACGTGTATTTATGAAGACGAGAACGTTGATTAAGCCTTAACATCATTTTAGATTTTAAATAATTTTCTTACAAAATTAATTACTCGAAATAAGATTTTTTAGACATATGTTAAAAGTTTCATTTTTCATAATAACGATTCGATTGAAAAAACAACTTTATTAATATCATTTCAAAAAAATTCTTCTGATATAAACTCTCTTGTTATAATTAAGTCCTTAAACTTTAATAAATCATTGATAATTGATATATATATATATATATATATATATATATATTACTTTTTGATAAACACGTATATAATTTTAAAGCAATTAGATTCACTTTTAGATAAATATTAATAAGATGTTATCTTATTTTAAAATTAAAAATTAAATTAAAATTAAAAATAACTAAATAATTAATATACAAGTAGTATATATAAAAATATTGAAAATAGAAATTGTTAGTTATCATTTACTTATTTTTTTAGCACCGTACAATTTTATTAATTATTATGATGTGATGAATTGTAGTTTTATTGGTTAACAAACTTTGAAAATTTAGAAATTCTCGTGAGTTTTAGGTATTTAAGAGTTTTTCTAGATAAAAGTTCAATTTGACCTAGAGGAAAAGATAATATATAAGATTTTCTTTTAAAACTTAAGTTTTAAAAATACTTCATTCTTAAGAAATTCTAAAAAGTAGAGAGAAAAACTATGAAGTTTTAAGAATTCTTCTTCTTCTTTCTAGTCTTCTTGAATGTGTAGAAGATCATAGTGAGAAGCATGTTGGTGATTCAAGGCTGTTGAAGTTGAGAATCGAAGTAGGTGTTGTGTGGTGTGGACCTTCCCAAAGTTATTTCTCAGAACCTATTTTATTCATCCTCTCCTTCCTTTGATTCTTATAGATCTTGAGGTAAGGGAAGCTAGAATTAAGTGTTTGTGATTTATAATGTTGTATGTTGTGTAATATATGTAAATCTATGGCTGTGTTAGTGATTTTTAAGTTTTGAATATGGAGGGGGGGGGGTTTGGTGTTCTTGTAGTATGTTTGAGATGAAATGCATGATTTGGGGGTTTTGGTGTTCTTGTAGTATGTTTGAGATGAAATGCATGATTTTGATGCCATATTATTGTTGCATTTCAGTTTTTTTGGTTGGATTAGAGTTACTTATAATGTGTGAAAATAAATTGGTGCCTTACATGTTGGACTTTCCGAATTTCAAGTGCGGATGGGCCAAATTTGTGATTTTACTATGTGTTGAAATCACCATCGCGTCAGGCATGCCTCAAGCCAAGGAGTCTTTTCTTTGATCATCCTAGGTGCAAAATTGGTAGCATTGAATGTGGATTGAGTCATGTCGGGTGTGGAAATAGGAGGCGTTAGGCGTGGATGCCCTTAAAGTGCTCTAATTTAGTGACGTCAAGCATAGGTTAAGTGACACCCAACATGATCAAAATAAAAGTTTTCTGTATAAACAATGTTGGGACTAGTTCAATGAGTTGAGCATAAGTCAGACAAATGCTCTCTACTTGAAATGGGGTTAGATGTGGGTTTCGCCATGCTAGGCATTATTGTCACAAAGGCTCTCTGTCTCATTTGTAACGACCCGCCATGGTCTCTACACTTAGTGAAATCGCACTACTGCTAGTGAAACTAAGAGAAATATTAAGCTGGATAACTCATACATACATGTACAATTAACAATGAAAATAACTAAGTTTCTGGTTATAAAATAGAACTCCATATATGTACAGTCATCCAAAAAATAATATTCCCTAGTGCCGGTCAAGCACAAACAAAATCGTTACCCAAAATGGTAACTCTAACACGAGGATCAAAATTCTCCATCTCGCAGCGGACACCTCAACTCCAAGCTAGTCCTGACCTGCTCCCATACCAAGTATGATCATCGCAGTTCCACCACATGGAAAAAGAAGGGTAAGCTAGAGTTCAAAACCAATCATACAAGTACAGAATAAAATCTATACTACACATCATCCAACTATCAATCATGTTCATAAAGTCACACCATACACTCTATCCAACACTACTCATGCATAAAATACAATCCACTAATCATGAAGTCAAACACCACACTTCATCATATTAATAATCATGCAACAAATGCATCTCATGAAAGATATCAATGCATATCAATCATCTAATGCGTCGTCACACATACACCTAGGAGATCTCCCTAACAACAGAACTGTATAAGTGACATTCCATCCTACCGAAACCACCCCAACCGTTTTCACGCCCAATGCGCCTGCTCGGTCACAGCTAAACAAGATATAATCCCCACTCGGGTTTACTCGGATGATGTCACTTATACAATTGGAAGTCCAGATCCACCGTCAGGTATAACACAACTGGGTACAGGCTTACCACGACCTTGACATGCATTACCAAGTCAATTGTGGAGTTCGCCCACCGACTATCCGCAAGGATCCACGCACCTTCCCGAGTACTTGGTTAAGGGAATAACCCTCGACCGCAAACCCCGCTCCAACACTAGCTAAGGACTTAGAGGAGACTCACCCAACCTAGTGGACTATCTAAGCACCACTCTCCCAAATCCAGTGGCCTACCTGAGCACCACTCTCATATATCAGTGACATATCCAAGCACCACTCTCAAGAGACTCTATGTGAGCTCTTGCAGTTCGAAAATATTTTTCCTCTCCTCAAGTCCTAGGCTAGACTCATGCCATAAGGCATCATATGCAATTATGCATCAAACATCATACATGGTCTGGCCACTATCATGATCAACAATCATACACATGTCATAAGACATCACATGCAATAAGGCATCATATATCATACAGGGTCTACCCGCCATTATGATCAATAAACATACCCATATGAACATATACACATGTCATATCATATTCAAACATTCATACGTATCATCACAAAGCATACATATGAATCGCACCTCACCATACATCATATATCATACATGAATGGTCTAAAACTTCAAATTTAAACATGCATAAGCATCAATTATTTATAAACATATTCACGCTTGGCATAGTCAGCTCGCGCCTAGCCTAACACCAACCCTAGAGCTCTAAGCTCTTTCACGCCCGGCGCGCTCAACCTGCACCCGACCTAAATCCCAGTCAGAGAGTTCAAAAACTCTCATCAAAACCAACGAATCCAGCCACATGCAAACACAAAAACACAATGCATAGGCTCCATACAACTTAAATAAACTTAGATCTCACATGCATCCAACCTATGCATCAAAATCATCAAAACCCTCTTTTTTTCTCAAAACCCCAAAAATGATATTTTCTTCAAACCTTCTATGGATTCTCAACATTCATGCACCTATTGAGTTTCTAAACTCACATGCAACCTAAACAACAAACATTCTAGCTTCCCTCACCTAAAGATTGGCTCAAAATAGCCAATAACTGAGAAGAAGTAGAATTCCCTTCCAAAGCTCAACCCAGAACTTCAATCCTCTCAAAGCAAGCTTCCTAATCTGAATTTCAAGAAAAGACAGAAGGCATTAGTGATCTAGAAGAGAAAAGGAATCATACTGAGAAATTTGGGAGAGAAAGGAGCTCACAGACCTAGAGTCCTTCTCTCTAAAACTTCTCTCTAAAAACTTCACTTTCTCCTCAACCACCAACCCCTATTTATAGAAATTCCGGAGTGGCCAGAACGGCTTGTTCCAAATCCGAAACGGCCCGTTCTGCACCCCCTCATCATGTACAAAAATCACATGTAGAACGATCCGTTCTGACACCAGAATGGTCTGTTCTGGGATTCATCCGGAACGACCCGTTTTCCCTCCGGAACGACCCGTTTTGGGGTTTGGAACGGCCCGTTCTCCCTCCAGAACGGGCCGTTCTCAACTATGTTTTATAGGTCAATTCAGTAGTTTGGAACGACCCATTCTAGTTTGGGAACAACCCGTTCTCGGCTACTGAATCACCCATACTGAGCTTTTGGGCCTTCTGAAACAACTTGCTACGTTACATCATTCATGTTAGACGTAGGTTGAGTGGTGCCAAGAGTGAGTGTTTCTGAAAGCTCTTTGTCTCAATGATGTTAGGCAAGAGGTTATTGTATCGGATGTGGGTTGTCTTATGAAATTATGTTGTTTGGTTGATTAAATGGTGAATATGTGGATGGTAGATATTATATCACGCCTAAGTTGTTTTACCCTAATAGAAATACTAGACATTCATAGTTTAAGTGACGAAATTTGAGAAATCATGTTATGAATTTTTATCCAATTTGGTTGTTGATATAGTAAATATAAAAAGATTGTGTTTTTGTTGATTCGGTAGGGTCAAATCACTTATACTATTCACCTTTATTGTAAGACATCTCTTAGATGAATATGTAACAACACATGTAATTATAATGTTATGCATTTGATGTGTTGATTGTGATGATGTTAATATACTATGTCGAATTGTTGGCGAGTTGCGTTATTGCGATGTAAGTTGTAGTTATAGTGTTATGAATATGAAGTGTTGTTTATGGTAGTATTTTGTATGTTATGTTGAATTGTTGGGGTGAGTTGCGTTATTGTGGTGTAAGTTGAAAGGATTGCTATGTGGTTGGGTTGTTTACCTTTTAAAAGTTGTTGAATATCATGATGAAATATTGATGTTGTGTTAATAAAGTTGTAAACTATGAGATGAGTTGTTGTGTGATTTGTATGATATTGTTGATAGTATATTTATTTTTACTTGTTTGATAGATGTAAAAACAAATCATTAACAACATATAAAAATCTAATTGATTTAATTAAATTATATGTTTCTAGTAAAAAAGAAGAAAACAAATTTACTAGTATTTAATAATTGTAATATATATAAAATTTAATATTTATATTAATTTGAACAATAACACGAAAAATTAAAAAAAAATTAAAAAAAGAAATGTAAAAAAAACGGAAATTTCTATATGATCTGTCGTGTGTCAGGAATTTGAAGTGAGGTATTTTTATAATTTCTCTATAAGCTATTTTTGGTAGAACATCAAAATATATTATATATTAGAAAACTTATATCATTATCATAAAATAAGTTTAATATATTTATTTTAACTTCTATTTTATTTTTATTAATTAAAATATTAATATAAAATATTTATCGTTGAAAATAGTCATCAATTCTTGTCAAAAGATATGAACACCCACAAAATTAAATGTATATTTTCGTCCAATATAATTACATATCAAAATGATGAAGATTCAAATTTTTGATAACGTAGCTAAAACGTTTAACTATAAATAAATGGAAATTATAATAAAGATAATTTAGTTACTTACTGGAGTAACTAGAAATAATATATAAGACCATGTTATTAGCAAATCCAAATTTATTATATTTTTTCTTAAAAATAGAAAAGTATCCACCAAACAATTCACTGAAAATAAGTTTTAATTTTTTTCTTAAAATTATTTTAATAAAAAATTTAGTGATTAACTGACACTTTTGATTGAAACATTTAACATAAACTTTTGATTTGCAAGAAATTGATGCGTTTTTTTAACGTGAATTTATTTGAATTATTTAAAAGATACGTATTTTCGTAAACTTTTTGAAAAAAAAAATTGAAAGTTGAAAGTTAAAAGTTAATTTTTAATTAAAATACGTTAGTTGAAGATTATGTATTAAAAAATGTTAGTTGGAACTTGGAAGTTGAACATATTAAGCCACCTTATCAAATTAAAAATGTTTTGTAAAATTAATTATTGAATTAGTAATTAAATAAATATAAAAATATAAATGGCATATTATTGTATTTTATTTCATAAATAAAATATAATTTTAGTCAATTAAAATTTTAAGTTTTTTTAAAGTTAATTTTAATATTTTATTGTTACTTTTAAAATGAAATTTCTATTAAATTTAATGATAAATAGTATAATAATTAAAATAAATACATATTATTAAAAGAGCTTTGATGAAATATTTTATTAAAATATTAAGAATAAAAACAACAATTAAAATAACGTATATATTATAAATTCAAATATTACTTTGAATTGCATAATCATTAGTGAGATAAATGACTAATAAATTTTATAATTAAATAAATTTATAAAGTAATGATAATTTTTTACAATATAAACTAATAATAATTTTTTTTCCAATATAAACTAATGATAACTGAACTTGTTATATTTTAATAAACGGTACATTCTATTTAATGAATACTTCTTTTAATTTAGAAAAATACTGCATCGTTCGAAAGAAGTCTTCAAAATTTGTTTTGACTTATTAAAAGACTAATTTAAATAATAAAATATTAAATTAAATAATTATTTTATAATAAATTTATTAAAAAATATTAATATTTTAATAATTTAGACGTTCATTCAAAATATGTTTTGACTTGTATAATAGTACTTATTAATGGTTGAATATTATAATATATATATATATATTATTTTATTTTTCTTTTTTTCTTTTTTTTTTTATAATAAATTTCAACCACCAATTTTAGACTATCAGAAATAGAATGTTGGATAGCGTGTTGTTACTAGCTGTTCCTATCCTAAAAAATATCTTAAAGTTTGATGTGATAATTATAGAAATGTTTCACACGTTACATCACATGAGATGAGATGTCCAATTGTTGACAATACTTTTCAATGTATCCTTTTTTTTTATAATATAATAAGGTGGAAAGGAAAATAAATTGCTATGAATTAGGCATGACAATCTAACTTACATGTATATGTCTAATTCGTCTTGATTTGCATGGAGAAAACTTGTGCTTATCGAGTTTAGATTTGAGTTTTTTTAATTAATAAAATCGGAGACGAAAATGTTAATACCTATCTCGTCTCTGCTTTTATATTTTTTTCTTCTTTTTTTTCTTCTTTTGAATAAATATGAACAGAGATAATTTTATAATCACAATTTCTTATTTCTTATGTCATAGTGAGTATTTAGAACAAAATCTATTATGTAAATCATTCTTCTTTCTTTATATTTAACATAAGTGATAAGAAGTAATTTCTTTATAGATTTATGTAATTTTTGTTTAAATATTAATTTCAAATTTGCATCAAAATATATTCATAATTAATTACGCTTTGAGATATGTTGTTATTTGATGTTTCTTTTTGTGTTTGCATGATCGATTATATGCAAAATATAATTAATTATGTAGACTTAAAATTAAAAATTAAAATATTTTGAAAATCAGTTAGTATGAAGTAAAATTGTAATCAAAATAGTAAGATAATATTAATTTTATTCTTTTATTTAAAATAAAAAAATAGACTTTTCTATATTCTTCTATCTCCTTTTTACATAATAATCTTTTATCTTTTATTTATATTTTAGAGCATCTCTAATAATAGAAGTCATTTTGAGTTTTTAATATTTTTTGTGGATCTCTTAATGCGAGATAAAATTGAAGAGTTTTTTTTTTCTATTTTTTTCTTTAATAATAAAATAACTTAATTAGAATTTTTAATTCAGTTTATGAACTCAATGTTTTATTTTATTTAATTGAGAATACAAATGCATTTCTTTATTAGTAAGAACTAGTTCTCGAAGATTCTTATATAAAAACAATTTTTGCACTAAATCATTCTATATTTTAATGATAAATTTTATAAGAATCAATTATTATATTTAAAAAGGTTGAATTCAGTTCTTATATATATTTTTTAAGACTCTCCTCTCTCCTTCTCTTCACTTTTTTTTTTAATTCTTTTCTTCTTTTTTCCTGTGTGTGTGCTTTTTTTTATTCTTTATCAAACATAATATGTTTGGTAATGAAAAAATAAAAGAGAAAAGAAAAGAAAATCTATTATTTTCACCTATTTTTATTTACTTATTTATCTTTTTCTTATTTCTTTTTTATTTCTATTATATCAAACTCATTTATTTTTACTCTTTTTTTTTTTTTTTTCCTGTTCACTTCTATTTTCATTCACCTTGATTGATTTTTTTTACCTAAGTTTTTCTTCCCACATGGCTCATCTTAGCAGTACAATATTGACAAAAGATACCATCAAGGCATCAATCAAAGGTTTTAAAAAAATGAAAATTACTTTGAATGAATTTAAATGTTACTCTAAATTGCGTAAATGACTTCAAGAGTTCTACCGCGGTGGGGTCTACAATTTCTACATCAACAACGACACCCCAAGACACAACATCGTATTTACCAAAAACTCTGCATTGGGTTGGACTCTGTATTTAGACATCTTTCCATCACTTTTTTCACTAATTTTTTAACATGTCACAATTACAATCACAATACTAGCTTTGTCTTAATCTAAGAAATCCAACTCCTTTAGACCGTTTCTAGTTCATAAATATTTTTAAATAAAAAATAAAATAAATTAGGGTGTGGGTATTTATATGTATTGTAGAAGAGAAAGAAAATAGAGTAGAAAGAAAAAGAAGATGGGAGATGAGGAGTATTATCCATTGTTTGAGACAAGAAGAGGCAGAGGAAGAGTAATTTACATAATGTTGTCATTTTCATTGTTTGTGGGAATTTGGTTCATGTGGTTTTACAGAGTGAGTCACATACCAAGAGAAGGTGAAGATGGGAGATGGGCTTGGATTGGTTTGCTTTCTGTGGAACTATGGTTTGGTCTTTACTGGCTCCTTAGGCACACCTTCAGATGGAACCTTGTCTTCAGACAACCTTTCAGACACACTCTCTCTCAGAGGTACCCTCTTCATTCATTCACTTCTCATTTTGCTAATTATTCTATTAGTATTTACTAAATTTGTTATAACTATTTTATTTTTATATGAGAAATCTTACCTATCATTAAGAACAATTTCACTTGTACTAATTACTTGTTCATTGATTCATTCACCTACTTTTGGTAGAATTCGTTTTGTCAAGCTAAACTTTTAAATGTTGTAAAAATAATTTATTTAATAGAAAATTTCATTTCTAATTTAGGATCTTCATTGTATACGAAAACCTTTTGAGACAGTGGCAATTATAGTATAAGCTGATTTATTAACCTCTTCATTAGTCTGATTTATTAACCTTTTAAAATAAAAAAAAGGGCACTTTTAACCAATTTTCTAAACAAAAAATTACAAAATATGGCAATGAGATAGAAAGAAAACAATTGGCTTAGTTTTATAGAATGAGAATGAATAGTATATATAAAAACACGTAAAGTTGCAGTAGCGGAAACAAAATAACAACTTAGTGATAACAAAATAAAAACAAACTAACAAATTATCATTCCAAAGCTAGGAATGAAATATCAAGCATTCCTAACTTGGAGCAGAACCCACGAAAAACTGCTAGAGACAAGGTTTTGGTGTAGATATCTACGAGTTGAAGAGAAGAAGAAACGGGTAAGAGTTTGATAAGGCCAACACGAAGTTCGTCACACATAATATGACAATCAATCTCAATATGCTTCGTTCCTTCATGAAAACTTGATTAGAAGCTATTTGTAAAGTTGATTGATTATCAAAATAAAGCAAAGTCGAACGAATGAAGAGAATACAAAAATCTTCGAGCAAGTAAGTAAGCCACTGAATCTCGCACATCATTCAGCTTTAGAAGAACTCTGAGAGATTATTAATTGTTTCTTCGAATGCCATGATATCAAAGATGAGCCAAATAAACCGAAAAACTAGTTAGAGAATGTCGAGAATTAATGCACCCTGCCCAATCAGAATTACTGAAAAGCTTTGAGATGAAGTGTACTGTTAGTTGCTAAGAAAATGCCTGAGCATGGAGTACCTTTCAAATAATGTAGAATCCTAAAAGCAACTTGATGATGAGCTGAAGTAGGATTAGATACAAATTGACTCAAATGTTGCACTAGATGTGTGATATTAGGATGCATTGTAATGAGGTATATGAGATGGCCAATTAAGCGACGATACATAAAAGGATCACTAAGAGGTGTTCTAGAAATAGAATGAATACCTGATGTAGAACGAGCCACTTCAAGACAAAGAAAAAACTTCAAGTCACCAAGATCATTGATCTTAAAAGTGTTGTCAAGGAGATATGTAATACAAGTAATCTCATGCATATCATTACCAACAAGAACAATATTATCAACATAAACTAGAAGAGCTATGATAGTAGATGTTGAAAACTTAAGAAATAGAGAATGATCAGAATGAGTATATCTATGAGATGAAAGAAAAGAAGAAAGCCTTGCATACCACTGTCTACTAGCTTGCTTAAGTCCGTAAATAAAACGTTGTAAAAGACATACTTGGCCAGGTTTAGAAACATGTAAACTAGGAGGAAATTGCATATAAACCTCCTCATGAAGATCTCATGTAAAGGCATTGTTGATGTCAAGTTGCTTGAGATGCCATTTATGAATGGTAGTAAGCGTAAGAAGCAGACGGACAATGGTCAACTTAGCCACAAGAGAAAATGTGTTAAGAAAATCCAAACCTTCCATTTGAGTGTAACCTTTTGTGTCCAAACGTGCTTTATAACACTCAATGGAACCACATAAAGTTATTATGATACAACTCAACGATAATAAAATAAAAACAAACTAACAAATTATCATTAAGAAAAAATTATTTAACTTTAGATTTAAATTTGCATATTATGAAATTGCCTTAAATTCTAAGATTTGATCTGAGATAGACAAAACTAATAAAATTATAGAAAAATTACAATTATAACTTTAAGATCATTATTAAAAAATATAATATTCTTTTTATATAATCATGATTCATGGAATGTTTCATAATTAATAATTAAGAACTTTTTTATGCACACTTTTATGAAATTTTATTAATCAAATATTATTTTTATATAAATAAGAATCAAACTTATGAGGAGGGACCCTTTTACTCTAGGAGTAAGTCAATTTAGACTTACTTCGTTCAATAACTCATATTCTACATCAAATTTTAACGATCCAACCGTTCAATTTAAATTTCTTAATGCATAGATCAAATCTGAAAATTTTTAGAAAATTTGAAAATCATTTGATATTTCATTTCATTAATTCAAATTGACAGATAATCATAAAATTATTTTATACATTGATTCAAATTAATGAAACGAAGTATCAAATAATTTTCAAAATTTCTAAAAATTTGTAAATTTGATCTATGAATTAAGAATTTTAAATTGAAAGGTTAGATCGTTAAAATTTGATGTAGAATATGAGTTATTGAACGAAGTAAGTCTAGGTAAATTTACTCAGAGAATAAAAGGATCTCTCCTCATATATATATATATATATATATATAATATTTCCTATTATGGATGGATGCTCAAAGAGTACGAGATTCATGGCGTCACTCTCTATGAATAAAAAAATATATGTAACTTTGAATCATTGCTTAAAAAAGAAAGAAAAAAAAGACATCGGTCAACCAAGCTAATCCATCATATACGCAAGTGGCAACGGGTTCATATATCGCGTTAGCCAAATTTTTTATTAGATTGAGTTATAAATATTATGACCCATCCACATTCCACACTCTATGCTTCATGCTTTTTTTGACATTTTAAAAGAGTAAAGCCAAAATATGATAAACAACATACGATTTGACAAGAAGAAAAATAATAAGTGGTTCCAATTAAAGAGTGTACATATATTATTGACAAAGAACTATACAGGGTTTCACAAAAATATTATGAAAGATCAAAGATCTAATTTTAATTAAAAATTCTTAAAAAAAAAAAGTAGAAGTTGTAATATGTTGTTTGAATCAGATATGAGAAGATACTGCCAAGAGTGGACGTGTTTGTGTGCACAGCAGATCCAGTAATTGAGCCACCAATGATGGTGATTAACACAGTGCTATCAGTTATGGCTTATGACTATCCAACAGAAAAACTGAGTGTGTATCTCTCAGATGATGCTGCATCAGATATCACCTTCTATGCTCTCTCTCAGGCTTCCATTTTTGCCAAACAATGGCTTCCCTTCTGCAAGAGATTCAAGGTGGACCCCACCTCACCGGCTGCTTTTTTCAAAACTATAGCCTCCACCACTCACTCAAGTAGTGATATTGCCAAAGAATTTGCCACCATCAAGGTGATGTTAGATGTTCTTCATCACTTTATGTCATTATATTTTCTCAATCACCCAATGAGATACATTAGGTTAAGATAAGATGAAACCAAATCATTTTTTGTTTTATTTCTTTGGATTATTTTAGGGTAAGACAATAATTGGATCTCATGTTTCTTATTAAATGAAAGGAAGATTATAACTATGTATAAAGTATATTAACATATATAAGGCTTGAATGATTATCGAAAATTTCTCTATCAAAAATAAAGAATAAAAAAATTCTCAAAAACACTTTAAAATTTATATCCATAGTTCCATACAGATTTTACATATACTATATTCTAAGTATCATATTCAATCTGTGGCATCTAAAAGCCTTATATCTTATATCAGATTGTATATGGTTTAACTAGTGACCAGAAATTGTGTCTTTCCCTGATTGACGTACCTTTTTACATTATCTGTTTGCAAAATTACCATAAAACGAATCAGTGATGTAAAAAATGGATATGATTTATTTGTTGTTGCAGAAATTGTACCAAGATATGGAAAGTCGAGTAGAGAATGCAGCCAAGGAGGGTCAAGTACCAAAAGAAGTACACTCAAAGCATAAAGGATTTTCTCAGTGGGATTCTTATTCTTCTCGGCGTGACCATGACACAATTCTTCAAGTATGACACTTTTTCTGAGCACTTCTGGTTTATTAAGATTATGTTTGGGACTAAAATCAGTTTTGGTGCATTTAAGATGATCAAAATTATGTTTGTTGAAAAATTTACTTAATAGTACATAGAATATTAAAAATAATGTCAAAAAATTGTGTTATTTACAATTTTCTTTTAATGAATTTGTTGGGATTAGTTTTTAATAACAAATGTGGCATTTTAACTGCTACCTATTTAATGACTTCAGAAGAGAAAAAACTAAAAAGATTAAACATAAAAATAATATATAAAGCTTAAAAGTTTACTTAAAGTGTTTCATATACAAATTATGTAGTATCTAGTCCGATCTTGTTCCAGTTTGACATCCATACTTAATTTTGCGTCATAAAAGGAAATTGACAATAAGCCTGAATTGAGTTTGTTGATCCATGTTCAAAAATAAGCTAACATATATTACCAAACATGCATTAATTATAAGAGGGATGATACACATTTTTACCACACTTGTGTAATTTTTTTTGTTCCTATCTAATCTCTTTCATCACATCACCTATCTTATCACACATTTATCACTCTTCTCTGTGTATGAATTGTTATAAAAATTAATAAGTATCATTACTCTAATCATAAGTGAGCCTTCCATGTTAGATTATCAATTTTGTTTAACATCACCTTAAAATTAATTTCAATTCTCCGTAGAACAAAACTAATAATCTAATCTATTATATTATTCTCATATTAGACTAGAAAAATAATAAATTATGTTTTTATGTTATCAAGAATAGGGACGGCACATAGATTTACATTAGTGTTATTTTTTTTTTATTTTGATCTAATTTAATTGGATCGATATAGGTCGGATATTTCCTTTTTCTTTTAGCAATCTAAAGCGAATCAATACCGATTGAGTTAGTTTAAATCGGATTATATGAATTCATCATATTAAAAAAAACAATAAATTAAAAATTTTAAATCAATGTTATATTCATTTTAATGCAATATGAGTAACTATAGTAGACCCACTAAAACTCTAACCCTAACAATGTGAGGGGAATAAAAGTATACAGCTATAAAGTGTGTGTGTAAATTGTGGAATGTCGGTTGAAGTGTTATAATCATTCTTTTAGCAATCATCTTATATATTTTCAACATTTAGTAGATTATCATACCTTTATATTATTAAAAAAATAAAAAAAATATTTTTATTAAATTCAAAACTTGAACTCAAAATCTTGAGGACAAATCATAGTACTAATTGAATCAATATATTTTTATTATTTAATTTAATTCTTTTATTTTATTTTTAATATAGACACGAAGTATCTCTACTTTAAATGAGTTAGAAGTTAGATGAATTTTTAACTCATACTTTAAAATATTTTTTAATTTACTTACAAATTCTAAATCTTTCTAAAAATATAAGAATCAATAATAATTGATTGGTTGAATCAGATTAAATTGAATTTTCAACATCAAATCCTTAATTCTATTAAAACTATTGAATTTTCAATTTTTTTCAATCCAATATGAACCAATGGTCCAAATTTTTGGTTCAGATTCATCAATTTTTTGGGTTGATCCGTGCCACGTAATCAAGAGAGCAGAAGAAGAACAAACATGCTCACTCTTGCCTATTTACAAACTATTACTTCCACCATCTTACTATCACTCAATTTAAGGACAATAATAATTGTATAACTTTTTGATATAATTTTATTATAATAGTTTACCTTCTTAATAAATATATTTTTTCTTTCTTACAAAAGTTTAAATTATGACAAGACACAATTTTTCAATAAACATATTACTTTTAATTTTGATGTTAAATAATTTATAAATGTGCAAATTAAAAAAAAAATTAATATCACATAAAATGTATGAAGCATTATTCAATTTCAAATATTTTTTAAAAATTAAAATGCACTCATTATAGAATAATGAAAATATTTTTATTAAATGGGCTATGGTGGGAATTATCTCCACAAGGAAAATATTTTTACAAAATTGGCTCTGTTGGGAAATAATTATCTCCACAAAGATGAAGAAGCAATGGATTCTTCAATTATCTATGTTGAATCAATATATTATAAGTCAATCATGTTCATATATGAAACATTTTGTTTTTACTACTATATATATACTGTGCCTAATTTGTATTATTTTCTTTGTAGATACTACTTGATGGAAAGGACTCGAGTTCCAAAGATGTAGATGGGCAAGTTATGCCAATATTGGTATATTTGGCTCGCGAGAAGAGACCCCAAGTGCCACATAACTTCAAAGCTGGAGCCATGAATTCATTGGTAGTGTATATTGTTGAGGCAACCTTCAATGCATTAACATTTATGAAAAGCTTTGTGCATGTTATTGTGATATTAATCTTTGGTTGTGTCATGTATTCTTGGTCCTGAATGCAGATAAGGGTGTCATCAATGATTAGCAATGGGGAAATTATTCTTAATGTAGATTGTGACATGTACTCAAACAATTCCCAATCTCTAAGGGATGCACTCTGCTTCTTCATGGATGAAGTTAAAGGCCATCAAATCGCTTTTGTGCAGACTCCACAGTGTTTTGAGAATATCCAGAAGAATGATCTATATGGAGGGGCTCTACTAGTAAGTTATGAGGTAAATTAGTCAATACTTTAAGCTTATAAGTCCAAAATTGCGCATGAATTGCTATTCATTTTTTTTTTTTTTTTTCTAATTCACAAAAGTCACCATGCTAGGTCCGTTCAATGATCCAATTAATTAAATCATTTTTTGTAAAACAGATTGTTTCAGTTTTTCTAAAAACAGTTCAAATCATTTTAAAATGGATTGGTTCATTGCAATTTAGTTATTCACTTTATATTTATATATAGTTTAACTTTTTAAAAAAAATAAATAATCAAACTAAATCAAACCGTTTTATAAAAGTGATTTGGCTAACTGAACCATTTTTCTAAAATAGTATGATTCAATTTTTCTCTCAAAACGGCCTAGTATTTATAATCAACTTTGGTTTGATTTTGGATCGAATGGTTCCTTAGAGTTTGTGATGGTTTTAATTTTGAACAAATGAAGGTGGAATTCCATGGTATGGATGCACTTGGTGGGCCTTTGTACATTGGAACTGGCTGTTTTCACAGAAGAGATATACTATGTGGAAGAAAGTTCAATGACCAATACAAGAATGATTGGAATGGATCTAAAAATATTGATCATATGAAAGAAGCAAGCTTGCATGAACTGGAAGAAAAATCAAAGGCTCTTGCTAGTTGTACCTTTGAGGAAAACACATTATGGGGAAAAGAGGTCACATTCTTTCTGATTGACCTGCTACAACTATTAATAATATAAGAAATGCTAAGAACATATTCTTTTGAACGCACTCTCTTTGACCGGTTGAAATTTTAAATCACAAAAGTTGCTGAGTTCTACACCATATTTAATGTCTCTTTCTCCTGATTTTGTAATTTTCAATGAATTCAGACCAATAAGAAAGTGTATTAGAGAGTGTGAAGTTACCACTCTGCTAACAATATATGTGAATATTTGATTGCAGATGGGACTGCAATATGGTTGCTCAGTAGAAGATGTGATAACAGGATTGTCTATTAAATGTAGAGGATGGAAATCAGTGTTTTATAATCCTGAAAGGAGAGCTTTCTTAGGTGTTGCTCCAACCACCTTGCCAGAAGCACTAGTTCAACATAAGAGATGGTCTGAAGGAGGCTTTCAAATTCTGCTTTCTAAGTATAGTTCTGCATGGTATGCTTGGGGATTCGTCAGTCCATTCCTTCAAATGGCATATTGTTACTATAATCTATGGGTGTTTACTTCCTGGCCAACTCTATATTACTGCACCATCCCTTCACTGTATCTCCTCAAAGGCATTCCCTTGTTTCCACAGGTATGAGTATGAATGTGACCCTCTTAGAACCACTTGTGGTAAAAGACTGAATCTCTCTTCAAATTATTAGACAAGGGCGTGTAAATGTTTATATTTTTAGTATTTGACATGCATGGGGTCAAAACTTCAATCACTGCAATGCTTCTATGATCTTTTTCCCATCTTTGATATTTGATCTTTCATGTCATTTTTCACAATTAAGTTTCACTGCAGAGTTAAGTGAGTTTATGCTTTTATAAAAGGGACATAATAATAATAGAAATATAAATCATTCACTTGCCACCACCTAATATTTTAATCTTCTTTTACCCTTGTATTTGGCTATATCCCTGCTTTTAACATGTAGGTTAATCATAAGAAGCACAACAGTTTTGATTTTTACCACTTGGGAGCTGTTTTAGATTGAAATTACTTATTTCCATTTCCTGTCTAATTAAAAAGTGACACAGCAAGAAAATTAAGACTCTTTCTCCTAGTTGTAAGTTTTGTTTTTAGAGTAATAGGCAGAACTTAGATGCAACATGTCATTACTTAAATAAAACCTCAATTTTGATCAGTTAATAATATAAAAATCACTAAAAAACCTGTATTTAAGTTTTGTCCCCAAGAAACATGTGATTTGGTTTCAATTATTTGTATCTACTTATGTATTTCTAACTTCTATTTTTGGTGCATTGATCATTCAGATGTCAAGTCCATGGTTCATACCTTTTGCATATGTCATGCTTGGGGATTCTTTTTACTGCTTGTTAGAGTTTTTGTGGTCTGGAGGCACAATCAAGGGTTGGTGGAATGACCTAAGGATGTGGCTTTACAAGAGAACAACCTCTTACCTCTTTGCTTTTATTGATACCATTTTGAAGCTTTTCGGGTTTTCAGAATCAGCCTTCGTGATATCTGCAAAGGTGGCAGAAGAAAACGTTTCCCAACGATATGAAAAAGAGGTTATGGAGTTTGGAAACTCATCACCAATGCTCACTTTACTGTCAACACTTGCATTGCTCAACTTGTTTTGTCTTCTTGGCATGTTACTAAAGCAAGTATTCATCAGTGAAGGGGGTCTCAGAAGTTGTGAGACAATGGCATTGCAAGTTCTCCTAAGTGGGGTTTTGGTTCTCATCAATGTACCTGTGTACCAAGGCCTCTACCTAAGAAAAGACAAGGGAAGATTACCAACATCTGTTGCATTTAAATCTACAGCATTGGCTCTAAGTGCATGTGTTCTCTTTATTGCCATAAGTTAAAATGTTTAATATTTTCACTTTTTGTTTACCAAGTTTTACTGTTATAGTGAAGCAATTCAGAAAATGTATGTTAGTCACCCCAATTCACCATTAGCCTTATGTTATTTAATCACAACTGAACAAATCACCATTAACCATTAAATAACACTTTCTGTTGCTCAATTAGAAAGTGTATCTTGTGTTTATGTTAAATTTAAAAAATAAAATACATGATGTGTGTCTATAAATTAATTTCTTAAGTCTTCTATTATTCTCAATCTTTCCTTGTTTTTTAGAGATAGGTTCTGCCGTTCTTTCCAACCGTACGTTGATCATTGAATAGAAGTTTATTTTAATATTATTCTGTTTAATTATTTTTTAAAATTAAATTTTTTCATTTAATAAAAGAATGACACAAAAAATATACTTATCTAATCTCTCGTTATTTTTCAAAATTAAAGTCTCATATCTAATAAAAAAATGATACATAAAAAATATTTATAATCATAAATTAATGAAATTTAAGATAAATAAATTTTGATATTTTATCTAGATTTAGTTATTACTAATATTAACTTAGGATGCTTTTAACCTTAAAAGACTTGCAAGAACCATAAAATATAAGTCATCAATATTAATTGATTATCATTTTATAAAATTTACAAAAACTTACTAATATTATTAAGATGTTATAAAATACCACTTCAATAAAATTTTAAAAATATTATCTAATTATGTAAAAATATTATCCAAAGTCTTTTACAACATAGATTATATATAATATTTGATAATATATCCTAAAAGTAAATTAACAACATTAATATATAATTAGACAACATTGTTCAAATATTCTTAAAAGTTATTTTTGTTGTAGGAATCCATGATAACTCTCAAATATGTCACAAGTTTTGTAAGTGCATAATACTCCTAATTAGGACTTTGAGTAGATTTGCCTAATCTACCAAATGCATGTGCATCAACAAGTCTAGAAAAATTCATTAAATGCCATAAACTCTCAATGATTTGGATATATTGAGACTAAGTAATTGTCTGTCATTTATTTTTATTTTTTTAAAATGAGAGTTAGCATTATATATAAAGAGTACTCTTTCATTAAATTGGAGCCATAATAATTAACATTCTTAAAAAAGTTTCTCATCAACATATATAGTCTTTTTGGGATAAATATACTATCTCTCGTTCTTACGATATTAGATAGGTTAATAAGTGAAAAGATAGTAAATTTAATTAAATCTTTGAATAAATTAATAATTATATAATTTCAACATATTATAGTGACAAATTAATAAATATATATATTTTTAATTCTTTTGAAACAAGAAGAAAATATTGGACTGTAAACAAGTTGAATCAAATTGATCTCCTGAAACTTTTGTGAGAAAAGTTGATTGTTTAAGCTTGATTCATGTACTTAATTGAGACTAATTGAAAGCTTAAGCTTTGTTAGTAAATAAAAAAAAAAATCTTAACTTATTGACTATTATACAAGAAAGAAACTTTAAAATTAATTTATAGTTTTTTAAACACTTTTTTTTAAGAAAGATCAAGATAAATTTACTAAAATATCATAATTTATGAATTGCCCATGCGCGTATTGCATATTCCGTTTGTTTACTTCAGAAGATTGGATCGAATTTCTTTCATGCAGAGTTTTAGTTAATTGAAATAATTGTAAGCATGCATTCCATCAACTAATAGTAATATTTTTTTCTTGTTTCTAAAAAATATTTCTTAATTTTTCACTATAATATCTTAAACTTATATAATTATTAATTTATTTAAAAATTTAATTTAATTTTCTATTTTTACACCTATTTAAACATGTTGACAAAAACTAACAAATTATTAGTCTTAGTGATATTAGATTTAGTCTCGTTAAGTATAGAAAAGACTCAATTAAAAATAGTTAAACAAATTCTTCATCGGAGATAAATCATTAGTGAATTTAGTGAATACTATTAATAACATTGTTAAAAAAATATATAAAAAAAGAGTATCTAAAAAATTGATGTTGTTGATATATTTATAAGACCATAATATGTATTAAAAAAAAAAAGACGTTTGAACATCAAAAACAGATATTTACACCATGTAAATAAATCAAGTCGAACACCTTAAAATCAGAAAATATGTTGAACTTACAAAGTTCCATCTAATCAAATCCATTTTTCATTCTTATCTTTAAGGGACAAAATTTAATGAACATTGAAAATTAACGCGATGATACACATGATTTTGATGGACTAAGTAGAGTTTTATCTTTTCAATTCTAAATTCACACATCAAATAAGAAAATAAGGAATTAAGGACACTGATCAAATTTGAGTACAATGTCGGTATTAGGGTGTGTTTGAATTTTTGTTTACATCCATTGAATGTAAATTCTTTGTGAGAGTAAGATTCCATTTCAACCCGTGTGCATAAAGAAGTGAGAAATCCATTAATTAAGCACACAATAATCTGTTAAAAGATAAAATCAGGTAGTTAAAGATCCTTCTCCATATCACTAATAATGACTAACATTTATCGATAATAATAATAATAAAAAATCTTCTCAATATTATTTTCTGCCATATACATTAATTTCGGCATCGACTAGATAAACATAGGTTTGTTAACAATTTTGTGCTCAAAACATAATTCATATTAAGTTGGATTTTAAAAATTAATTTATATTAGTATCCAAAACAACATTACTGATCCAACACGTGTTGTTCTAAACTCAATTTGCAGTGGATGTGGATCACATGTTCGTTAACAACGTAGACCTCAAACTTCACGAACTGCTAAAACAACCAACCCATCTTGCGTTCCTATTTATTTTTTCCTCGTTAAGTCCTTACTTTCTTTTCGTTTTCATATTCGTTTTGGAGGAAAACATTTGATAAAAAAAAAAAGGTAACATTCTTCAAATTTGATTCTTGCATTTAGATTCATTCTTATGAGACATGTTGAATGCTTAAATTCTTAATTTGGAATTCATTTTTGTAACATGCATATCATTTATCAGTCGCATGCACGATGATATTGATATTTGTTTTGGCTGCTTTTCAGATAGAAATTTTCCTTTATAAAATTTCAAAGGAAATATATATTTGTTTTACGTAATCATCATTTCAAAAGGTTATGATTAATGTGAAAATTTTGAGGAAAAGACAATTTTATCATATCATATACTTTCAAAGTTGATGGATCAGTTTCATGCACTAAGGAATTTTTAACAGCATACTCATGTGAGTCTTGTTGAATGTTTGAATATAGTGATAGAGATGAAACTGGGGCTATCAAATTTTGCCACTGCAGCTGTAATCTTGTCCAGCCTGAATGCAGTGGTTGGGATCAGATTTGTGATTGACAGAGAAGAATGTTTCTCTCATAATGTTCAGTATGAAGGGGATAAAATCCATGCTTCATTTGTTGTCATCAAGATTGATACAGCTTGGCAATATACTCATGATGGTGTAGACGTCACGGTAAGTAAGCACTATGAAACAATTTCCTGACCCTTTTGTGTGAAATTGTTTCTCTGATCATAGGGATTCCTCATGTTAATTTGAGTAATCATACATGTATCTATCTCTCTCTATCATTTGATTAATGAATGAAATGATAGAGAAAGATAGACACAGAGTGATGTTGTACATTATCTTTACTATATGTCGCATTATACTAATGCTTCAAAGTCGACTATTGATTCAATAAATTTGTTTGAATGATCAGGTGAAGGGACCTACTGGTGAAGGAATTCTAGATTTTCATGACAAGACAAGTGAAATATTTGAATTTGTGGCTCGAAACAGTGGACCCCATCGCTTCTGCTTCAGCAACAGGTCTCCCTATCATGAAACAATTGATTTTGATGTCCACTCTAACCAAGCTCACAACTCTGATCAGCATGCAAAAGATGGTGAGACATACGTGAACTAATTAATGTGTTGCAGATTAGTCCATGTATCCACGCTGGTACATTTTTCAACTGTGAATCCTTCTCAATTGGTGAGTTACAGTTGACATCTTCATCTTTGCAGAGCATTTTAATCCTTTGTTGGAACAGATAATAAAGTTAGAGCAAGCTCTTTTCAACATTCAGTATGAACAGCATTGGCTTGAAGCTCAGACTGAACGCCAGGCAATAGGTACACACATCACATATCACAATGCACTTCTACTGGTTTAGGATTTTTGGCTTCAAATGTCTAAGGAGAACTATCATTGTTGAATTGAATAAAAATGTGGAAACATAGTCATGGTCACAGAGGAAGAGGAGGGGTAAACTATGCATAATAAAATTTTATAGAATTTAAGTTTATCCATCAGAATCAAGCTCAGAAATTGGTGGTTTACTATAACTCACGTACTCCGACGTGTTATAAACTGCTATGGTTGAGACTTGGAATTAATTATGTTAAGAAAAAAATTGTTTTCTTGAAAAGCAAAATTAGAAAAGAAAATTTGGTCTTTTTAATATAAAAGTTGTATAGTTTCATTAAAACTTGACCTGAGTGTAGTTGAACCAGTATTCATTTATGTTAAAGTCAACTAGCATAGGTTCTAGAAACATTCAAATTTCCAAAGAAACTTGATAGTTCCGTTTTTGACTTTTTGGCCACCTTGCGTCTTGACTATGTTTAAGACGCTTGTCTTGCCGCTTTTCTAGTCCAAGTAATTGATGGAGGCAGTTGAACAGTGCACCTTGGACTTGGTTTAAATGAAATTAAAACAAATTTAGCAGTTTTTATTTCAGCAGAAGTTATTTAATAAATGACCTTACCACACAAAACAGGTTTTTTATTCTTTAACATGAGATTTCAGTCTTCATGGTTCTTGACTCACTATTTTACAATACTACTACATAAACGTCAATTTGATGTTTGGTATAAACTATTCCCTGGAAAGAGTGTTGATAATAT